GCTGGACTTGGTTCGCCAGCACCAGCCCATTAGTGCACCACCATCCAGCACAACGGAGTCCAGAGCCATGCGCTGGACATCGGACCAGCGTAGACTGCCCCAGACCATGGCCAATATGGCACAAAGTAGCAATCGGTCTTCACCAGGCTCACCAAGAACGGCTGCTTCAAGCCTCTGGACGACAATAAGCGGCAGCGGCAACGCCTCCTTGACACGGGACCGATGCTAGTTGTCTGCCTGCTTCCAGGCAAGGACCAGAGGGTTCTCCAACACCTTAGTCAAACTACTGAGCTGGAACTTGAAAGCAGCAAATCCCATGCCACTCAGCACCGATCGCTTGCGCTGTCGCCCCCTGTCAGTGAAGCATCGAGAAAGTCCAAAAGTTGGCATAGCGATGGACAGCCCGGGCGGCAGTCTAGCGTCAGGCAACAAAAGATCGAGAAGACAAGACACTGCAGCAGCCAGGCAAAGCTGCAAACTCATGCATGGCGAAGTCGACGACGGTTCATGTGCGACTTGGGTTTGTGGCACGCGCTGGCCTAAGGCCCAACCCACCCCAGCGCGACCCGACCCAGCTACGACAGCAGAACCGGGCCGAGCGCCATGCGCGCCTTTGGTCCCGAAGGGTCCGGACTGCTTCCAACGATGAATGGAGGCTAGTGTATCCTCCTTGCTCGCGTCCAGCGGTAGTCACGGAGATTCCGGGGCCCCGCTCCATGACGGCAGCCCTTGGCGCCGATCCGGGTAACCCAACAGCGAAGCTTCCCCGGCTCACAAGAAGAAGCACGCCCGGGACACGAGCGAGGCGCGCGGCAAGGACATTTTCTGGGTGCAGATGGAGTGTGGCCTCGTTCTCAGCAGCATCAGTCTGTGGGAGTTGCTTGAGAAAACCAAGCGGAGACAAAGAGCGGGTACGCCTGCAAGTGCTGCAAAGGGTTCTGGAGGGCGAACAGAGGGGGAGCCGCTGCATCCTTTTTTACCGGGAATCGTCGCAAAAGCTCTTATCGTCCCTGGTCACATCTTCGACGATCTCCGCCTCGTCGTCGTTGGGGTCCGCCGTCAGAGTCAGGGGTGCCAAGATCGCGGCACCGTCGATCTCCCGAAGCTCCTTGCCGTCGCAACTTCCTCAACGGTCCAAGCATCAGCGGGAGTAGCTGGTGCGGCCATGGCGAGCAAAGGCGAGCGATGGGGAGTTTTTTCGAAAATTCGTGTTTGCTGAGGCACAATCACTTGAGCCAAAATGGCATTCGCCATTGTGATTCAAGCGTATTCCTGACATAAGGCATTGCACGGGCGCAAGCTGGTTCAATTAGCCATATTTTTCACTATACACACCGTGGAACGGCATAGCTCCCTGGCTGGGAAGCCTCCACGTGAAGGCCGACGTGCAGCAGCTGCTCCGCAAGGCCCCCGAAGTGCTGCAGCCGGTGTGCGCTACACTCGGGGACTTCGATGAAGGATCTAGTGCTGCTTCCGTGACAATAATTGGAGCGTATGTACCAGAAGCGCAGGCATGCAGCAGCAATGCGGCATCATCGACAGGCTGGAAGGAAGTGTCACGACAGCACAGATGCACCTCAGACTTGAGAGCAGTGTGTATATTGAGCAGCTTCTCCTGCCAAAGCTTCGGAAGCTCAGACAAGCAGTCAGCTCTGCTAATACACCGGCCCTCTAGACTTTATTTCTGGTATCGCAAGTTATGCATCCTCAATGGTTGTAAGGCGAGTGCAGTCTGACACTAAAAATAAACGTGATTCCGGATTTGGCTCTTGGCTTGAAGCTCTGTTGATTCTGCTTCGATGGTTCATGGGCAGCTTTGCCTTGCAACCATATGGTGAACCCTGAATCCTGACTACGTTGAAACTGCAAATCACACGTACACAGAAAACTCCAAGCCCAAACTAGGGACAATCAACCCTGAGTGCAGAGCCTCAGGGATGGCGAAGAGCTCTTCTCCACTATTGAGATCCTCTTTGGCTCGGTACTGCGGCTTCGTGCAATTTCAGGAACAACAATTACAACAATTGACAGAACTGACATAACATCATAGTATAAGTAGTAAATAGGAGAAGCAGTATAGGCAGTCTAAGCAGCAAAAGTATCATAAGTAGCATAAGTAGTAGAAGTGGTCTCAGTAGCATAGGTATAGGTGGTGGTGGAGGTGGTAGTAGTAGTAGTAGTAGTAGTAGTAGTAGTGGTAGTAGTAGTAGAAGTAGTAGTAGTAGTAGTAGTAGTAGTAGTAGCAGTAGCAGCAGCAGCAGAAGTCGTCGTCGTCGACGTCGTAGTAGTAGTAGTAGTAGTAGTAGTAGTAGCGGCAGAAGAATAGTAGTAGTAGTAGTAGTAGTAGTGGTAGTAGTAGTAGTAGTAGTAGCAGCAGTAGCAGGAGTAGTAGTAGTAGTAGTAGTAGTAGTTTTGAAGCTATCTGCCGCGGAAGTACTTATGCGAAGATTCCCTGTCTTACACAAACAGTTCATGTAGCAAACGTGTTTGATAGAGTCCTGTTCCTTTCTGGTTTCCTATGTGAGTTGCTTGCGTAAGACACGGAATCGTGGCAGCAGTAGTAGTAGTAGTAGTAGCAGTAGTAGCAGTAGTAGCAGTAGTAGTAGTAGTAGTAGTAGCAGCAGTAGTAGCAGCAGTCGTAGTAGTAGTAGTAGTAGTTGTTGTTGTTGTATTTGTAGTTGTAGTTGTAGTTATTGTTGTTGTTGTAGCTGTATAGTAGTAGTAGTAGTAGTAGTAGTAGCAGCAGTAGTAGTAGTAGTAGCAGCAGCAGCAGCAGTAGTACTAGTACTAGTACTAGTACTACTAGCAACAGTAGCAGCAGTAGCAGCAGTAGTAGCAGTAGTAGCAGTAGTAGTAGTAGTAGTAGTAGCAGTAGTAGCAGTAGTAGTAGGAGGAGGAGTAGGAGGAGTAGTAGTAGTAGTAACAAGAATCATAGTAGTCGGGACAGGAGTAATTAGCCACTATCAATACCAGTAGCCAGTGGTCGCCACTACTATCACCACTCATGCTACTGCTCCTCCTCCTCCTCCTCCTAGTACTACTGCTGCCACCACCACGCCTACGACTGCGACTGTCATTGCCACTGTCACTACCATGACCGCGACCACGACCACTGCCATTACCACTACTCCTACTACTACTAATACTACCGCTACTCCTACTACTACTACTACTACTTCTTCTTCTACCTGTATTACCACCGGTAAGGCACCAACGCTGGCACTGGAAGTGCCCCTGTCATCTACAGCGCTCTGATTCCTGCCATCCCCTTTCCGGCAACCATACCCTTCCGTAATGAACATGAACATTTGCACGATTATGATGTTGGCTTGGACCGTCCTGTTCTTATTCTGACAAACTGCTGGCCGTATGGCGATGCTAATGAGCGGTCTACCTACGACGGTCATCAAGCTATGGTTACCCAAGTACCAAAGGCCTCCAGAACCACCACGCCGAGGCCCCTCGCTGGGACCTGTCGCGGCTGCGCGACTTGCACTGCTGCCTCCGTCTACTAAACCCTGCATTGCATGCAACGTGAGCCAGGGGTGCAGGTCCCGTACATCGGACGAAACGGCTCAAACGTTAGCTTCTGTTCAGTAGTCAGGGTAGTCTTGATTGTTGAATACCCCTTGCACTATCTCCCTCCGCTAACCCCTCCATCACGAGCCTCGACACATCGTATGGCAGCATTTAAAGAGGCAAGCAGTCAATCGCCTTAACCTTGACAGGATCTCGGAAAACTTGACCTCCCATGCCCATGGCAGTCGCCTAGCTCGACGCTTGCAACCCTGAAAGGGAGGAGGCTACAACTCCAAGGCCGCAATGTCCACAACCTGAAGCCTGGGCCTGTGTCCCAGGTGCCCGAATAGAGACCCCTGCATCGCAGGACTCTCGCAGACCGTCCGTTGAGAGCTAGGCTCGTTTAGGAAAGTCGAGAGCCGCATGAAAGTGCTAGGAAGCCGTCTAAACCGGAGACGCCTGGATCCCAAAGGCCTCCATATCCGGAGAGAACCCGACAGAGACAGAGCAATTTGAAATGCACAGAACAATTCCGGCTGCGAACCGGCGCGAAGCGGCGCGAACCTCCACGGCTCGAAGAGCCGAGTGGCTCTCGGCCCCTGGAAGCGCGAGGCCTTGGAGCGGAGCCCTAAGCCGCCTTCTCGCATCGCCTTCTCCTTTACAGAAAGACGATCGCCTCGAACAACCTTGCAACGCCGACGGACGTTGTGAAGTGTTGGGGAAACTGCAATGATGTCTCTTGTGCTGCCTCTTTGAGCTAAGGCTTGGATGTATGCTAGCCAGGCCAGCTAGGGCAGCTAGGTGGCCGTAATCACACGGCTGTCAATCTTCGAAGCAAGGTTTGAGAGGTTTCCATGCGGTGCTTGGAGAAGATTGAGCTGGTCTGTCGTAGGAAAGGCCTGAGCAATATTTGGGTTCTAGGTTGGCAAAGAAGTCCAAAGGAAAGGAAGTCATGCTAAACTCCCTTCGCCCTTCGCAAATTCATGTGTTTTCCGTTCTCTTTGGTAGCACATTGTGGCATGGAGTTTCGCATGTTTACGGCATCTGCAGGCAAGCATCGTATCTTTTGGGTTGTATTAGGGTTGGAGGTCAGGAGGCAGTTTAGAAAGCTCAGTCTACTTTTGAGTTTGCACGGCATGTAATGACTAGAGCCGGCTTTGCGAATCCCTAACCTGCAGAACTTCGGAAAAGTAACCCTTATCAGCAAAGAGCGCAGTGAGAAAGAGTCGAATTGCAGTTCTCTCTCGGACATCAGAGTTCACACGAGTTGGAAGCCTGGGACCGACAACCTAAGTGTCTTTTTGCTCGCGACGCTTGCTGACACATGATTCACACATGCCCGTTGCGCAGCTTTTGTACGCCGATCTGCCCATGTTTCCCCCACAGGCAGATCCATGCGCGGAGGCGGGCCGCTTGCGCAAAGCAAACCGCTGCATATGGTACACGTAAAGCGAAAGCCCAGCTGCGACCAGCGATAGGGCTCAGAGGCCCCGGCGGCGCACGACCCTCTTCGGCTCCGGGCTGCTCGGCGGCCCGCCCGGGCTGCTTAGCGGGGAAGGCATGGACACGGCGGGAGGCTCTTTCGGGGCGGCCGCCGGCGTCACGGGCGGCGATGCTGGCGTGGACTGGGGCAACTTGGTCGTGCCCTCCTCGCCCTCGCCGTCCTCGTTGAAGAACTTGTTCACAGCCTGCAGGGGACAGAAGTGTAACCAATCTTTCCAAGCTTGCAACGCAGAGCTTGTGGATATACAGTTTTGCGAACATTCGGTCTTGTCGACTAGAGACACGCCTTCGTGCCCTCGCTGACGGCGTGCTTTGCCAACTCACCAGGAAGGAGAAGCCTTCAATGGGGTTTCTGCTTGGCAGCCTCTATTTCACTCTATTTCAAATTCGGGGCGTGCGATTGGCACGGAGTCCTGACGAACTTCACCGTGGGATCTACAGTGCGGGACTGATGCAAGTGTGTCAAGCACTGTCAAAAAGGATAGCAGGCAACACACAAGACTGGAAACAACCGATTAAGAGATATGCTTTGTTGGGGAATAGCCCCAAACCCCATCAAATTTCTGGCTGCCCCGTAGAATCCCACATCCTGAGTCCAGAATCAGAAGGCTGAACCCCACTTGTCCCGTGCTGCCTCACACAAGTTTGGACCTCTCTACCAGACAGAGTCCTTCTCGACATAGATCTGAGAAGCCGATTGGACTGGCACAGGGCACAGCTGCTTCTTATCTTGGGATTTGGGGCATACTTTCTATGCATCAAGCATTGGATTGGAAGCTTCTGGGTGCTCTTTGGGATTCAGTCTACGAATGACCACCCAGCCGCCGCCCCGCCCGCCCGCCGGAAGAATGCTTGGTTGTGACTATGTTTTGTGGCTTTACGTGCGAGTGTTCGCCTCTTTCGAGACGACGCTCGCTTGCAGCTTCTTTACTCTCTTAGTTGCGATTGTTATCTCCTCCCCGCTCGGAGGGGTCTTGAGGGGTCGCCACAAGCCTGCACAGTTATGACTCTGGGGCCCCAAAAATGCACATAAGCAAACATTACCATAGGGATATCCCATAATCGAGCCAGGTAGGGATACCCCTATAAAATGCCTTTGCTTATGTCAATGTGCTTTTTGGGTCCCTAATCTTCAGGCCCTACCATCGCACACCTGTGACTTGTGGTTGCCGCCCTGCCATCTTGCCTTCCGCCTCTTGTGCCGTTCCTTTCGAGTTTCAGGGGCCCGCCTGCCCAGCCTGTCCGCCTTACCGTGCACGTGTGGCCCAAACCTTGCAGGCCTGGCTTTCGGTCTTCACCATTCATTCTAGAGTTCACGGGTGGCCCGCTCCTTTCAGCATCGCCTTGTTTCACAGTCTTGTAGGGTTCTTGGGTGCCAAGGCGGCCCATTGCTGCAAGGCACCGCCCACTCCTTTCCAATATGGGCCACGTTCTATCAGTCTAGGCCAGGCCACTCCTGTTGCAGCTCGAAATCAATCACACTACGACTTTTACCGCTCCTGCTCAGCACACTGTCGGGCAACCTGATTTCGTGCATGACGACGACCACGACGACGATGACGACTGCCGGTACAACTACTACTGACGCCACTGTCAGCTAGTATTGTTGCACTTGTCGTCATTTTATCAGCGGTGTCAACAGTACTGAAAAGTTAAACGTTCAACCCACTCCTATGTCAGAAATCTGGCGACGACATCGCCGACGACGACCAGGACGAGGACGACGACGTCGCGGATGCCACCCTTGCTAGCGCCGCTATTACGCTATTACTGATCCTACTCCTGCTAAATACGTACGGCGAAGCCTCGTTAAGGCAACCATGGTTGCGACTATGACCTGAGTATGATGCCTTTGCGGATTAGCTGCACGACCCGGACCTGCCTCAGTCGCAATGCGGTCAAAGATGTCCTTGTTGCTTCTTGAGCTTGCACAGGGTTTGCGGTCATCGGGGAGTCGCGTGGCATTTAGCTCTATACATTTTCCGGGTTTGTTTAAGGTCACAGGGTTCGACACATAGGATTTGCAGTAACTCCATTCCGCACATTAGCTACCCACGAGATTTCTATACTTGTAGTCAGACTCCAGGAATAAATGCTAAGAATGTGTGCTTCGCGAGAATGACCTCGAAGCTGCTCCGCTCGGTACATCCGCTCAGGTTGTTGAAGGATCATCCAACCACAGATTTCAAGAACAGGTAAAGCCAGGGATTTGCGGGCCCCCGACTTTCACCTAGCGCTGTGACTCCCTGATCAGGTGCAAACTATCGAAAGAACACCTGGACCCCTGCCTTTGTGCTACGGTCGCCAACAGCCCACAACCAGCCTCTGCCTTGGTTCTTCCCTGACACCTACAGCCCAAGAACCATGGAGCCTGAACCAGAATAGCCCAGCGTCGCTCATGAAGCTATTCATGATGTTCATGCCGCGCTTGCCTCGGCATGATCCCACTGACTTCCTGAGGAGCGAGGACGTGCCAAGCACTGAGACACGGAGGCGCTGGCTAATGCCCAATTCCGGGTGCACCTGCTTCAACACCTGGGCCGTGAACCCGATGACCCGCCACTGAGGATCACGGCATGACGGAAGCATGCCGTGCCTTGTAAATGAAGCTGCTGTAGGTAGGCATGCCCTTGTGCTTCCTCTTCCTGCGCACGTGTGACAATGCTGTCACGGGACCACAGAGGCCTCTGACCGTGCCGTAGCTGTCCAAGCTGCGACGCTCCGTCACAACAAAGCGCGCGATTCGCAACTGCTTCCCAACTGCTGAGCCCCAGCCCAGCGCAGCGAGCTGCCCAGCCCAGACCCAGCCCCCGGCCCAGCCAGCCCCATCCCCCGGCCCACTAGTCCCCAAAGCAGGCTTCAAAAGGAAAACGTTTCGGTCAAAAGGTTTCGGTCACACGCTCGCAGTCGGCAACCTACACTACCCCAGCTCAAGCAAAACATGGGCGGCATCTTCGGTCCTCTTTTTGACGATCAGCTCGCCCTCTCCAGGCTCACCAGCCGGAGTTGCCTTCAATGCGATGAGAGATGGGCTGGCAGGGAGACTCGATTTCAATCTTCACCCCATCGATTCGGCAGGCTCGAAAAACCAGGGGAATCTGCCTTGGCCTTCTTCTTGGTCATCCGCCGGCTCTTGCCACCAATCTGGCCGACATCGCACCAAGCACAGAGCGACCATCAAAAATGCATCAGCCTGCGTGGCTGCTCCTTCGTTGTCTGCAACAGCTTGGCAAGAGCTTCCAGGTTTCGGGTCCAGGAGGTTGGATTTTGTGCCTGCCGCTCTCATTGTGCATCTGTGGGCATACATCTCCTTTCCCTCTGCGGCATACATCTCTTCTCCTTCTTCGTACGGGCCCAAAGGACTACATCCCTCTCTGGAACAGAGGGCACAACAGCCTGCCTGCCCGCATCTCTTTGATTCTTTCATTATTTCTGTCCCTCTGTTGTCCTTACTTTGTTACCTGATGGGTAAGCCACTACCCCACCCACCGGCTGAAGCTTGATTTGAGGCCGTCGCTCATCAGGTGAAACCGACACTGCAACCGCCCAAGCGCCTTGCCCTTCTTCGCCTTCCGCGCGCGCGGCTTTGACATCTTGTTCTTGGTTTTCTTCTTGTCTGGCTTCTTGTCATCCTTGCCGACGGCTGCCTTGTCCGGTACTGGTGACTTGGTCCCCGGTTTACCACCTGAGAGGAACAGGTGTGAGTGGACGGGCAAACTCGATGAGAACTAGCGCCGAAAGCTACAGCTACAGTGCAGATGGCACGCATTTGCTGGCAGGCCATGAGCGGACAGCGGTGAGTTTAGGTACAAAGTATCTGCACACCGCAAGCAGCAAGCAGCTGATGTCCTGAAAACCTGCGAACAGCGAACAGGAGACCTGCCGCATGCCCCCGACAAAGCATGAGCTCGACGTGCCCAGCAGGCCTTCATCTTTCTTTGAGCCATCTGACTTCCCGCCCTCCTGCCCTTTCTTGCCACTAGGCTGTTTTGGCAGCTTCACCGGCTTTGCCTTGGGGAGTCAGGCTTTAGAGAAGCCACCCTCCTTTCGAGACCGACATGCACCACGCAACCAAAGCAATGCAGCACCAAAAACAATGGTGGGCTCTCCCAGGTACTTCCCCGAAATACACACTTTTCTGGATCTAAAGAAATATGCTCTACAGGGTGTACCCAACTAAGGAGGTGGTCTAGACCTTTTCTGCAAATTGTATCATCGGCTTTTTATAGAATTGGGAAGTTGTTGCTGCTGCTATGCTGCTATGTCCCACGACCGCGAGGAGGTGGCTGATGATGATGATGTGAAGCTGGCGCTAGCGCTGATGATGATGATGATGGTGATGATGATGATGATGGCGATGATGACAATGGCGGTATCCCCACTCCTATCTAGAAAGGGAAGGCCCCCGGTTGAGAATACATTACGGGTTGGTGTAGTCTAGGGTGTCCGGTAAGGAAAAATTAATGTATTCCAGGGGGGTGAACGACGCTCAGATACTCCATGCTGCCTTGTTTTCGTGTCGTTTAGCATGTTCGGGAGAGACTGGAAGCTGCACTCGACAAGGTTTCTTTTCTTGCACTCGGCAGACTCCCGTGCATGTGCTGCTGTGTGCTGCCAGTGCCGTCAGCTCGGCAAAAGCGCAGGGGCCACTTGATGCACGTTCTGCATCCACTTCTTAAAAGGTGCAGTGCCCCGCTGTACAGATGGGTAGGTTTCGACGAACAGACAATACACCTGCCATGAAAAGTCGCGAGCAGTCACTACAGGCTTCTTTCCGGCAATGCTCTTGGCAGAGAGCCTCACCTGAAAGAAGCTTGGCACTCTCTCCACCAGCTCCTCCCAAGGGCATGGAGACACGTCCTCCACCGCTTTGCCTGTCAGGCGGGTGTACATGCGGCCCATAACTCTCGAATACTCCCGCATGGCTTTGTAGCCGGCTGGCGTCGGGTGGAAGGAGTCGCAGCCGAACACCATGGCAGAAGTGACATCCACCGCCTTCGGCACGGCCACGTCGCGCCCTGTCATGGCCGACATCCTCTCCATGGAGGGCTTGCTAAGCCTGATCGTCAAGGCTTGCTGGGTTTCCAGCAAGCTGAAATCGTCGGCTGCAAACTCCCACAGCACTTGCGGGCTGTCCTTTGCGATGCTGTGCGGATTCAGGCACAAGCGCCTGTGCAGCACCGTGGTGAACCACTGGTCGCTGTCCTTCTGCTCGAAAAGCCGCACCTGGATGGCACCACAGATGTTGCTCGGCAGCATGCTTGGAAACGGTTTGTAGCCGCCACCTCGACTGGTCTCGCCCTTCTTCTTTTTCACACTGCATCGCCAGACCTCTTCGCAGAGCACGACCACGATCGGAGCCAGCACATTTTCGCGAAAGGCGAGGAGCTGGTACATCCGGTTGCCGCTGGAGTCAGTCAGGGATGACGGCCGAAAGTACTCCAGATTGGCATCGGAAGTCACAGGTTGCGGCGCTTCTGAGGCCACCAGCTGGGCATATGTCCGCCATGCTTCGTGACGGCCTGCACGATTGCCACAGAGCCCCCAAGCCCTTTTGGCCTGTGCCAGCTCGCTCTGCAACTGATTGTGATCCTTTCGAGGCTTCCGGGGCTCACGGATGCAAGACTCGCTGATGAACCCTTCCGCCGCACCTGCATCCCCAAGCAGTGCCAACATGGCAGGACGGAGGAGCTCTATGCGAGCTACAGCTTTAAGCTGACTGTCGATCTCGGGCGGCATGTAATCCTTGAGCTTGCACTCCTCCAGGATCTGCGACAAAGTGGTCGCACCAGCTCTGCCTCTGCCATGGTCCACAGCATTATGCAGTTTTTCCGATGCCCGGGGCTCCTGGATACTCTGAGTCATCCTAAAACCCAGAAAGCCTAAGCATTCCTAAAGCCTAGATCCTAAAATCCAAAGTCTAAACTTTCCTAGAACTCAAAGGCCACGTCCTGCTCCTCCTCCTCTGCATCTGCTTCTGGGATTTCTTGAAGATCCTCAGCCAATGCAGCCTCTCGCTCCACCATGGAGATGCCATGCTGGATCCGGGCAGTTTCATCTGTCTCCAGCAGCTCAAGATCTTCGGCAGGGTCCTCATCCGAAGCCTCGCCCTGGAGCGGATCGTCAACATCTGCGATCTCGGCTGAGCGGTTGCCGGAGGTGCTCAGCAACAGAGACTGGCCATCAGTCTTCCACCACTCGGCCAAACGGTCGCCCACCTGCTCCGGAGACTCATTCGCCGAGGCCATTGCATGAAGGGTGACTGCTGCAGTCCGTGCTCTGGTTGCTATGTCGGTCACCTCACCGGATGCCAAGTTGTCACCGGCCCATTCGCGAACAGCTGGAACCGAGAGGCCTCGTCGGCGTTGTTGAGCGTGGAGTCTCTGAGTAGCTAAGATGCAAGCCTTCAAAGTTGGGAGCTTATGGCCCACGGAGCGTTTGATGCTCCCAAAGAAATACTCCGAGCACTGCTCAGTGCCTTTCTCGGGTGCAAACGGTGTCTCGGCTGGGTAGTTCACGATTCGCTCGATGAGGTTTGCTGCACTCATGAGGCCGTTTCGGCATGTGGGCTTCGCCATACACATGGTTTCCCACTGACCCTTGCAGGCCTGCCTGGCAGCCATAGCATCGAGCAGCAGCATGTAATACCCGGTAAATGCCAATTCGAGCAGCTGCCAGGGCGAGAAGAGGTGGGCGCAAAGCCACAGACCGTTGAGAGCAAGTGCTCGGAACCTTTGTCCAGGTTGGCATTGTTTCAAAACAGCAGAAACATACTAGTTAAGACTAGTTACAAGCACCATCGAAGTATGGACATATGCACAGAGAAGCTGGAAAAGCAGCACAGGCACGCTGTCCCAGCGAGCAGTTCGAGCACATCCAGGATTGAGGACATGGGCTGCCTCACTATCGCTCTGGTTGTCTTTGCCAGAGAATGGCACGTGCCCCAGCCCATCCAGCAGCAGCGGACTTCGGGACATGTACAACCCGCAAATAGCCATGGACCGAGAACGACTGCTGCTCACCATGTTTTTCTGCTGGTGAGCACTGTCGTTGTGATTGAAGATCTTGTGACCACGGTACTGAAGCGTCTTGCAGATGTACTCCGGGGCTTTCAAGGGGGCCGCTGCAGTGAGGTCCTCGAAGAACCTAGTTTCAGGATGTTTCAGGATTGTTTTTGTTTGGTTGCAAACCTCACTGAACCCTCAACCCCACTACTCAAATCAGCAAGGAGCGGGATGCTGGCGAGGTCAGCCAGCGATCGGAGGCCAAGCATAACTTCAGTGCAAATCACTTGACACGTGCCATTGTCGGGTCGTGGGCGGATGCTAGTGGGGGGATCCCCCCGTTCGCTTCCGTCAGCGATTTCCACACACGGCCCACTTCAACCAGGTTGGTTAGCGAGGTTATGGACTTCAGGCGTCTTGGCCGCAGCATGAGGCAGTATGTGTCTTTGTTCGTCTCGATTCTTTTCCTGACATAACAAAAAAAGGAAGACCTGACACTCATACCAACACCCTTGGCCTCTTGTCCTACCCTACTCCTGTTTTACCGCAGCCCTAGCCTTCACAGCAATAGTTACCCGGCAAGGCACACAACATATGCCATCAATGTCTGGGCCAACTGGTCCTTCCGCAAGTCTGCGGCCTTGAAGCTGCTGCAGGGAAGCCGTGCGGCCGAATCACCGCCGCCGATGAAGTTTCGGCCACACTGGTCCGTGTGAACCTCGTATGTGGGCCAAGCACATGTCTCGTCGAAGCTGAACATGAACCGCCGTGTGCCACGGCAGTGCAGCAAGTCCAGGAGGCAAGTGCTGTTCTGGTAAAGTTGGCTTCGGTGCCCAGCCTGGGGAAAGGGCGGATCTCTGAAGGGACATGAGTGTGCTTAGGGCTTAACACACGCCTCGGGCGGGTCTTCCAGCGAGGGCTCGAAGAACAAGGGGAGACCTTCCATCACACTCGGCGTTTTTGCGAACCTCTTCGGATTCATGCCGAATGCCGACATCAAGGACGCCGTGCTCGTGAGGGAACTCAAGAAGAACCCCAGGTCCATCATGGCTCCGTCCTGTGGCATCAAGCCTACACCACCCTACATTGATCTACATTGCCAGACCCCGGCGACCCTGTCCTCGATGCCGCGAACAGCTGACGTGGTGTGGCGGCTTTTGTTCTTAGCCAGCAATTCACATCGGGTGGCCAGCACGGAGATCAAGTTGAGGCACGTTTCACGTGCATCTCGGCGAGGGTCCTTGAGCTCGTGGTGGAGCATGACACAGCCGCCGGTCTCTCGTGACATCCCTGCCATGAACTCGACATGCCGCTGCAGCGACGTCTGCCAGCCAGCATCGGGCGATGCTTTCGGCGCGGACAGCGGCAACCAACTCACCCGGCTCCGGATATAGTGCGATGCTGCAGGGTTGCGGAACTGCATGGGCACAGACTCCCCGACCAGACGGCCTGCTAGCTTTCGCAGAAGGGGATAGTCCATGGCCTCGAGCTCTTTCACAGAGACTCCGCAGCGGGTCTTGAGGATACATCCATAGTCGGCTTTGGCGATGCTGTCCAGGGTGCTTCGCCGAACTTTGGCCATGCCGGAGTATACACTGTGAGAAGCATCAGGCAGTGCTGTGTGTGGCTCTGCAGAAGACACCCTGGCGTTCCTTTGCCGGGGAGGAGCCGAGGCATTGTACCAGCCTGGTGATGCTGCTCACCTTTTCGCAGCAACCTTCGACGAGAAGGACGAGGCACTGTCAGTTTGCAGGCCGCCTTGCCTGAAGTCGCTCGGCAGCACTGTTCTACGGAGTCAGGGCATGTGAGGGTCGTGCACATGGAGTGGTCAGACCGTAACATCATGCTCATAGACCGAGAACCCTTCAGGTGCTTGCTGCCGCTTGTGAAAGACAGGCAGCCCAGCAACATCAGCTTGAAGCCGGAGGCGGCACCCTCAACGGGCCGCGACATGAAGGCGTGTTTCCCTGAAGGGGTTGTACTCCTAGACTCGCCTGAAGC